GGGGGAGCAGAGTTTGAGGGGCGGTGCAAGTAACTCAGGGGCCAAGGCGGCTTCCCCGTGAAGAACCGGGTTCAGGTGCCCGTTTTCCTGGGCCCTAACTGTGCCCTGGGTCGCCCGCGCGCCCTGCCTGCCTCGCCCGGGCTGCGTGCACGCCCAGCAGCCCAGGCGGGTGGGGGCGGCTCGGGCTGGGTCAGTGAGCGCTGGCTGTGGGCTGGAGGCGGGGCCGGGGGGCGCTAAGGCCCCTGAGCCTCTCATTTAAGAGAAGCCCGGTAGGCCTCAGGTAGTCCAGGAAGGCGGTCATGTCTCCACCTGCAGATGCGGAGAACGCCTACTGCGTACCACCCGGGGGGAGGGGGCAGCGATCGCCCGTGGAGGTGGACGAGGGCCCACTGCTACCTGTGGACCAGACAGCCACCTGCCTCACGAGTAACTTTACAGTTTAGGACTTAACCGGGGGCAGAATTAGATTCAGGCTGAACCGGACGAGCTGGCCCCAGCGTTGTTGGGGTCAGAGTAGTCGCTGGAGACGTCCTCGTGGGAGAGGTCCTCGGGAGAGGTCCTCGGTGATAGTCCTGCCTGAGGACAGAGCTGTGAAAACGTAGAATAAAAGCCGGCCCAGCCCATCGGCCCCTCCCCGGAAAGACAAGCTGCGGTAGCAAATTTCGAGGGTAATGCATCAAAAGTGTAAGAACGGGACCCTTAAAACGACCGCTTCTTACCTCGAAGCCTTTCTGGGGGAAGCAGGCCTCTGGGTGGCGGGCTGCCCAGGCCTGCCGCTGTGGGGGCACACGCACCCCACGGCCCGCCCTCCTGTTACATGGCACACAAATTTGTGCCTTCTAGATCACCACGATGGAGAGCAGCCTGAAGACCATTGAAGAGGAGAACAAAGTAATCGAGCAGCAGAATGAGTCTCTCCTGCACGAGCTGGCCAACCTGAGCCAGTCCCTGATTCACAGCCTAGCCAACATCCAGCTGCCGCACATGGTAAGTGACTGAGGGCGGGCGTACAGGCAGTCGCTGTCTGCTTCTGTGCCTAAGCTCATGGTTCTCCACACTTTGGATGTCTGCGCTCACCGCCCCCAAAACCGTAGCGCTAGCGGCTAGAAGCACCGGTGGGGCAGATCCTGCGCTCCCCGTAAGGTTAAGTCCTTACGCTCTGAGTAGGCCTTTTAAGTAGCGAAAAGACGGCGGCCCTATGCTATGATACTATTTTATGCTGATGTGAATATCCTATTAAGAAAGTAAAAGTTGTGTATGAACTACTATTTAATATCTCGTAGGATCCAATCAATGAACAAAATTTTGATGCATACGTGACTACTTTGACGGACATGTATACAAATCAAGATCGTTATCAGAGCCCAGAAAATAAAGCCCTACTGGAAAATATAAAGCAAGCTGTAAGAGGAATTCAGGTCTGAGCAGCTGCTGTAGGTGACGGGATGTTGTTTAAAAGGAGACCTGTTGTTCTTTGCTGCTGTGATTCACCAGAAAGTGTTCTATATTTATTTCTGTTTGAAACAGTGTGACGCTTACAAGACTTCATAATGATTTTATGTCTTGCTTTAAAGATAGTACCTGCAGAATAGTTTTCAATACATTCACATTTTGTACGTTTTCATATAAGCTGACATAGTGTGATATGCCATGTAATGTTTATAGCTGCTAATGTATGCACATTTGGGGGTATATATATTTCTGAAGAGGTAAGCGGATCAAAATAAATAGAGTGTAAATTCTTTTTAATGCTTTAGTGATTAAATGTTTTAGTATTTTGAACTGAAATGGACAAAAAAAACAAAAAACAAAAAACAAAAAAAAAAAACAACCCAGCTTTGAATGATCATGTGGTGACCCCGCAGCCACTTTTTAGACATTATCATTTTGCCTCATGTTGGAGGATTTTATGGAATTTAAGAAATAACATTTTGTGTGCATATTGTTTCATAGCAAGAATTGGTTGCAAAAAAATGCTTTATTTTTGAACAATGCTTGGAAATATTATGTGATTTTTTTGTTTGTTTGTTTTAGGAGGATGGTGTATGGTGGGGGCAATAAATGAGGTTTTTTGCATTCCAAGGAAATGGCATATGGATTAACTGTAAGAAATGAGATAAGTAATTTATTGTAAGACAACATCAAGCCATGGAAACTTGGCAGAAGATTCAAAGCAGCTTAAACAGCACTTTTAAATTAACTCCTGAGCATTACATGGTGTGCCTCTGGGAACTGCAGTTAAGACAGGGGCTTATGAGAGGTGGACAGCGCGAAGATTTCCCTTTCCAGTGTCAGTAGACTTTGGAGCAACCTCCCCTTATCTCCCCGAGAGCTGTGTGCCCCTCTGAAGCGTCTGTCCTTGCAATGGCGTCTGTCTCACAGAACCTGTGTGCTCTAATTTAAGTTCAGAGATAATTTCAGAGTATTTATTTCCCCTCTTTCCACCTTTAGAAATTATTACTGTCGTTGTCGCTGTTACTATGACTTCACATTCGGGGAATAAGGCAAATGAGGCGGGAGTCCTACCGCGGGGCGCTTTCTGCTGGGCGGCGGAGCGCAGCTCAGCGGGGACGCCCGACGCCGAGTGCCCGCACACAGGCCTTTCTGTTCCACCTTCCCTTGGAGACCCGGCGACCACAGGGCCTTTGCAGAGCCTTGCTCTTTGATTTGTCACGACCTATTCTAAGAACGAATGCAATCAGATTTTAAGAGTAATTACCTATACTTCAGCACTTTTTTGCTTTACACTAGATCATCCTAGACTTGCTTATACTTGGAGATTTGATTGTTTTCTTCCAACGACTGCACTATATGTATGCATAAGACCACTTTTGATTGCTGCGCCCTCCCCTTCCGAGTAGTCCCTAGGACGGCGTGTTGTGTCTTCTGGTGTTGACTTGAGTTACATGTAACAGCATCTCTTCCCTCCATGTCTTGATGTTATGCAGGAAGTACAGAAGTACTTTAAAATTTTGTTATGAAAAAAAAAAAAAAGATGGGTTTTGTAAAAATAAAAAAAAATATTTTTAGCAGAACAGGACTTACAGGGTCATTGTCCCCACAACGTGCCAGTCGACTATTTGCACTTACCTTGTCCTATATATCCGTACGGAGGTGTGCAATTCCCGGGGTCAGCAGCCTCGCGAGGCCGGCCCTGGAAAGATGACAGAAGCCCTCACGGCTGACCCGACGATGTTGCTAAGGGAGATTACAGGGATCTCACAGCAAATACTGATACAATACTCAACCTCGGTATATATATGCGTATAAATATATGTACACCCCCAGCGGCACTTTATACTGTCCACTGTACAAACGCTCACAGTTTTCCGCGAGGACGTTACTAACGAGCTGGGAAAGATGACGGACCTCCCGGGGCCCTGCAGCGCCCGCCCTGGAGAGCGCCCTCTTTCTGTTGTGCGATTAGTTGTAGCTGCCGTGCTCAGAATTGCCTTTTCGAGAGCCGAAGCGAGGTGCTTCTCGGTCACCCGATGCCATATACGCCGTCGGGGCCCTGGGCTCCCGGGGGGGCCCTGCCGTTCGTGTGGGCGAATGCGTTTCCCTGCCGCGATGTGTCCGCAGCTTCTTTGCCAATATAGTAATGCTTTTAGTAGAGTAATAGCTAGTATCAGTTCTGGATTCTTCTCGTTATCACCTATGTACAATGGAAAGGGGTTTTAAGCACAAATCTGCTGCTCATCTAACGTTGGTACATAATATCCAATCAAGAGTTATCTGTGACTATTATATAGGGATCACAAAGTGTCACATATTAGAATGCTGACCTTTCATACAGAATTATTGTGAGTCATCAGAGTTTATTTATTATAACTTATTGTTCGTATTCATTTCTGAGTTAATTTAAGTAACCATTTATGAAGACAGAATTTTGTATAAATATTTATTGTGCTCTCTGTGGAACTGAAGTTTGATTTATTTTTGTACTACACGGCATGGGTTTGTTGACACTTTCATTTTGCTATAAATGTGTGGAATCACAAGTTGCAGTGATACTTCATTTTTAAATTGTGAACTTTGTACAAATTTTGTCATGCTGGATGTTAACACATCTTACTCTAAATAAAAACGGTGTTGCCACATTTGTAGCACGATGGATCTCTACCCAGGGTCCGCGTCTTCACTTGAGTCTGGAAACGGCGTCTGGGCCCACGAGGAGCGTGTGGCCCCAGAGCCGGTGGCTTCAGTGTCGGCCTCTCTAGGGGGGGCGCCTCCCTCCACGAGGGCTCCCCATGGATGGTTTCTCGAAGCCGTCCGCGCAGCTGAGGACGCTCCCTGCCCCTTGCTGCTGCGCAAGGCCACTCGGCCACGTTTGCCTCCGCTCCTGTCCTCGCTCTTGTGAGGACACGTCATGTCTGCACGCAGGTGTCTCCCGGGACGGGCTCGTTGTCCCGCACAACCACAGCGCGATTACCACACGCGATACGACGTCCTCCTCGCACCGTATCCACACGTTCCAGCCAAGCCGACAGCCTCCTTTATGGTTCTCCCTTATCCCACACCCTGAGGGACACAGCCTGCTCTGGGGCCTGACGGCCGTGTTCCTGCATGGTCCTGAGCCACCCTCTGCCTCCCGGGAGGCAGGGCAGGGCAGTGCGTCCAGGGCAGTGGGTTTGCAGACCCTGCCGAGGTTGGCTTAGCCTCACAGCCACGGCCCAGCGGCTCAGGTGCTCTGAGCGATGCCCTGCGCACCCCTGCAGGTGCTCTGAGCGATGCCCTGTGCGCCCCTGCAGCTCCCTTCCGTGGGCACTGTGTCACCCCCCATGATCGGCCCTGCTGCTCAGTCACCCACTCTTAACTTCAAGCTACTGGCAAGGACCACCCATAAGACAAGTTGCCCTTCAGACATGACATGTCACTGCATCACCCCCTTTCCTTCACTTATGCTGGTAAAAGTCACCCTTTAAAATTCCAGAAACGCCCTCCTATATAGACACAATCCCCCAAAATACAACATTTGAGGAAGAGGCCGGGTGATCTTTGTTAAATCCAAACTGTATCCCGGGGAGGGGGTGGGGGGGTCCTCTACGTCCTCAAGCGTCAGGGCCACCTGAGCACCCGCCCGGCCGGCTGGCGCTGTCTGAGATCTCACGGGTAACATCTGGGCCAGCTTCATGGAGTGACCAGGACAGGAGGGATGGTCTCCCTCAGCAGGTGCAGCTCGGTCAGAGGCCCTGCCCAAGGACCAAACGAAGTTGACGCAGAAGGTGGCATGTCCATGAGCCGCTGTCGTGACTTAAGTCTGTCATCTTGTCACCAGAAAGCCACTCCCCCTGAGGAGCAACGTGGCTGGGACTGTTGTCAACACTTTGGGAAGCACTTTAGCAGTCATGTCAAAGACCTTATGAGATTCACATTTTTGGCCCAATAATTCCAGAGGTCTATCCTAAAATACCAGAACAATTGCAATTATACATGCACCGAGGCAAATGAAAGTAACTTATAAGTCCTATTTTGGAGGAACGATTGAACAATTCATGGTAAGTGCACTTTTTAGGACGCTACGGAGCCGTTAAACATCGGTGACAAAGGCTCACGGGTGAGACGCTTGTGATGCTACAAGTGAATAGTGCAGGGAACAGAAGTGTAACCACCTGGGTGGCAGTGAGGCTGGGGTCCGTCAAGGTGACCTGGTGAGCCGCACCCCTGCGTGGGCGGCGGGGGG